GATTGTCATCTTCCTCGCGTCTTGCCCTTAAACAGGTCAGTGTGACTAAAGATCAACCATCTCTTTATAGAGCAGCAGCAGGTGATAGATTAAGTAGAACAAATTGCAACCATTGCTTTCAGGTGTCTCTGCTTTTCTTCTAACGGTGAGTTCCTGAAAACATAGTGAGTTACTGTAGAGAAGCATTTGCCCCTTTGTGTCATCCAGAGCTCCTTTAATGTGAATCAGATGGCATTGAGATATGTGTCATCGGCCTTAAGGGCAATCAGGCCTTCTTCTAACTGTGGGATTCAGTAGATACCCCCCTCTCAATACCGTTCCCCCTTACCAAACATGGCCTCCACATATGGGCCCCGGCCACTTGTTTCCGACTCTGGCTTTCTTCTGTCGAAGGGGCAAACATAAAAGTCAGCAGGAGAATTCAAAGAGGCAGCGGGATGAACATGAAGAAAACTCAACCACTGGTTCTGACTGAGGATGTTGTAGTCAAGACTACACCAACTAAGATCAAGGAGTGCTGAGACAAGGCCAAGACCTGTAGAGGTCTTGGCCTTGTCTCAGTACTCCTTGGTCACCGTTGGTGTGGTCTTCACTACAACTCTAGTGTGTTGTCATATATGACCTCGAGAAAAATGGAGAAAAAATACAACAACAGAAGGACCGGGTTAATAGTCCTATTAGCAGCCACCCTAAAGCACACATACCTACATGGGCTATTTTGCTGAAGGGTATCCTTGTGTGTATAGGTTTCTGTCAGACCCTAAAGTACACTGTCTTCAAGAGTAATAGAGGTTGACAACCGAGGAGGGCCAGCGTGAGGAGGGCCCTGGAGCATGTGAACAGCAACACAGAGCTCTACCTTTGGCTTTGCTGTGTGTTTTCCCGCTCAGAGTCTTTAGCTTTAAATATTGGTTAATGTTATAATGGAAGTCCATGTTTCATTAGTAACATGCCCCCATAGCTCTATACCACTGCCGAATCTCTAAATAATGAGGAAAGTGAGACCTTACAAAAACATGAAGTTTTTTTCTCTTTTATTTACAGAATATACACATTATTCCAACTTGAAATTTTACTCATGAAAATGTATTCAGATGAGTTTTTAAGAAATTGACCTGTTATAGTTTGCAAGAAAAAGCAATGCAAGAATGAAAGAAAACCACATTTTATAACTATTGTCATTTACTGTAGCTTCATCTGTCCTGATGCTCTGTTGAGCTGTGGCATCAACCTAGAGAGAGGAACTAGCTGTGCTGCTACCGTCAACACCTTCAATTATATATGAAAGAGCTGTGCCTGTTTTTTAGTGTTTAGTCCAGTCTCTCTCCTATGGGCTCAGCTCTTACTGTGACTAACTGGAGTTGCTCTCTTTTTGATATGAAAAGTGGCTCGGAGCTCATACAGCTCTTTATTTCCTAGACAAAGCCACCTGTGGAGTTAGTTACCCATTACTTTTTCTAACTTACAGTAACAGCCATTCATAATGGCCATTCCCAGTATAACGCCAGCTGATTGGCAGCCCACTTCCCTCCAAATCCCAGCAAATTCCCCTCCAACTTACAGCCACTGGAGTGAACCCCTCCTTCTGGGCTTGCATTTTTTTTTTACTCTGACTCCACCCTTTCACTGAATTTGAAAGGCTAATACTATAGAAAGTATTTAGACATCAGTGCTTCCATATTCTCCGGTCTTCGTGAATCACAGTTGGCCTCAGCAGAAGACCGCTCACTGGTTCTGGTTCTGCTGGACGTCTCTTCCTGTTAAAAGGGAATTTTTCCTCTCCTCTGTCACTCCGTGCATGCTCTGGGTGAGGAATTGTTGTAGAGTCAACAAAAAAATGCAAATATATGCCTGATTTCGCTACATGCTCATGCAGGATTAACAAACCCTGTAAAATCAACGCCTGGAGGCAATGAACTGGTTTACTTTGAAGACTTTTAACCTATCTTTCTGTGATTTCAATGAATTTTCTTCAGAAAGTGCCTTGAGATTACATGTTTTGTGAATTGCCACTATAAACATGCACTAAACTGAAAAAAACACTCTTTTGTTTCTAATAAAATCAATCATATAAATCATTAACTATATTTAGGGTTTTGCAATGACTAAGCCAATTTAGGATGAGAGACGATCAGAAGCAGCGCTGGTTCCTTTTAAAGAAACCAGTAAATCATAAATGCCATGCTGACCACATGAGAGCTGAATTTATCCAACCGGTCACATCATAAACCAATATGCAGATCAGCAGGAGGCTTGGGGTTAGGTGCCTTGCCCAGAAGCACATCTGCATGTTGCCAAATGCTAAACGGCTACCCTTCCCTCAGAGCTACAGTAGCCTAGAAGTATTCGTATTTTTCTTTGCTTCAGCTCTGATAGGAGGTTCAAACCAACGTAAGGCACCTTTTACTCTTAGAAGGGCCCTCATCACTAACTAGGCCTATAACCAAAAAACATATGTTCATGTTAAAATAGAGCAATATATGCCAAGTGTTAGCCCTTATGATGTGTATTTCATCCTTTCTGAGTTTGAAAATATTTTTTGCCAAACATCAATGGACTCCAAGGTTCAAATTGTATTCAATTAGGAATATTTGTGTCTTTTGGCTCTTGGCGTTCATTTCTTCAGTCGTTGGTTAATGCTATGACACAAATTCCAATTTAATAAAACATAATGCTGGCCTAATATGATATCTCTTTCTGCCATGTTTTGTTTGAACAGCAACACTCACATAGGGCTGTGCTCATTACTTCATAAAACTTATTAAACAGGATTCAATTCTCAGCAAAAAATAAATAAATTACAAAAATAATAAAATGCATAGCTCAAATTCACAACACACGTCATCTCAAGCCCCTTTACAGTTCAACCAGATCATACAGTCAAATTGATTTAAACTTTTCTATCTAAGGAAAACCAGTTGATTGCATTGACTCGAAGGCAATCCCTCACACTAAGCATGCTTGCAGCGACAGTGGAGAGGAAAAACTCCCCATTAAGAGGAAGAAAACTCCAGCAGAACCAGACTCTGTGTGAGCCATCAGCTGGGGTTCAAGGAGACAGAAGCAGAGATACAAAAAGCAACTGTAAAAGGCGGCTCCATCCAGGAAACAAAGCTAGGCAGACGAGCTCCGACACAGTTTCCATGTCAGAGGATGAAGAGAGCACATCCAGCCAGTCACATTTAGAGAAACAGGACTACACTGAAAAACAGGCCATGCTGCAACATCTATAAATAAAGGTGTTGATGGCAGCAGCACAGCTGATATTTCTCTCCAGGATGGAGTCACAGCCAAACAGGAACAGACCAGATGAAGCTACTATGAGAAAAAGCAGAGAGAGCAGAACGTTACAGATTGAACTAACAAATTCTGCAGAGGAGGAGAATAGAGATAGAATGAAGCAGAAGGATGAAATGGGGTCCCTATGTCCTCCAGCAGTCTAAGACTATAGCAGCATAATCAAGTGCAGCAAGTGAATTTCAGGTTAAAAAAGAGGTATTAAACCGCTTGCCATTCAAGGCGGGGCTGAAAGGAACTCGGGAAAGAAGGGCAACCAATAATCTGAACCAGGCCTCCATGTGCAGGGAGCCAAGGCTGCTCTGGCCCTGACTGGCTGATCAGAGACATATTTCTGTGGTTACAGGGGATGATTAGGTGGCTGTTTAAGAAAAAGGGAAAGTTAGTAAAGAAAGGAAGCAGGATATATGAAAAAAAAAAAACAGACGTGTAGGAGAGAGGAGGTAAAAAAGAGGTGATCGGCTGAATATAAGCAGCTTATTTAACTGCTGGAAACATTCCTAATGATAAGTTAAGTAAAAATTATGTTGTTCCCCAGGAAGTCAGTGATTGAACTATAGATAGACTTCCTCTTTACAGCCAACCTTTATATAGAGCCACCGACTTACTTCCACTGTAATAAATCAGTTTGTTTCTTTGCTCCTGAGTGCACCTACCTGAGCAGGAGTCAGACAGAAAGCCCCTTTTAACACCAATTCCTCAATGACTGCACAACCAACAGCTGCACTTGTTTTTCATTGGCTTCCCCTCTCCCATCATCATGACAGAGTGGAAAAAATAGGCTAATGGAAGTGGCGTGAAACAGCATCGGGTTAATTTCTGTGTCTCTATAAATTCCAATCAAGTTTATGAGGGGAGCAGGAGGGAAAAGCACCTGATTTATGGAGCTGGCATGAAGGAGATATTTTCTCCTGTCGATCCACGGCGTCACGTTGGGATGTTACAGTGAGACGGCCGCTATGTGTGCGTATGCCTGTGGGATCACTGGGAGAAAGAGCGCTGAGACTGGGCTCAGCTTGGCATGCCGGTTCAGTGCACGCACACTTTGTGATCGGAGAGTTGGAGAAGAGCTCAAAGTTTGTTTAAGAAGTCCCAGTGCCATGTAGTTTCCCATGGGTTGGCTAGCTTTAGATCTGTTCAGAGAAAGAACATCATGGAGTGTCTTAAAAACCCCCCAGATGGAATCTGACCAGTTTACTGTGGGTTTTCCAAATTTGAAGGGAAGGTTGTAAACAGAAAAAGACCCCCAGCCAGCAGCAAACGTATCATCTGCATTTCTGTCCCTACTTTAACAAACATTAAAGCCAACTACTTTTATACTCAATAAGGTCTTATGTTGTATCATTAGAACAATTTTAATGCATTAGAAGGTCGATTTAAGGTCTATTTAATGGGGTTAATGTGTGGTTAAAAAGATATTTTTTGAAATACAAAGGAACATCAGAGAGAAGTTGTCAGCAGTGTTTACAATGGAGGGCGTCTTTTTATTGCCTTCCTAAAAGCTGTGCTCTCCGTGCTTCCTGGTGGGATTACTTCAAGGTTCAGCACATCATAAATACAAACAAGACTCCTCTCTGAAGAGTGCCTGTCCACCAAATGAACATTGTTTGTGGCGGTACAGATCATAATAATGCTCTTTAATCTTGTTTTATCCCGTTTTTTTTCTCTAACTCTTATTTATTTTGTTTTTTTTCGTTCCACAGCGGAGGTCAACTTGGAACTCTCCCGCCCCCTGAAAGTCAACCCCACTCTGATCAAACTGGAGCAGGCCAAAGCCTACCTGCAGAAAGTTTTGCCGAACTACATGTGGGAAAGCTCCAGTAAAACAGCCTCTGCCTTTTCCTCTCCTCACTCATCTCCTAAAAAGACGCCTCACCGGGCCTTTCCATCTCGTTTGGACCCACAACACGAATCCTCCTCCCCGGGCAAAGCCAGCAAGGCCAGGAACCTGTCCTTCCACAAAGTCTCTCTTCTCACCAAACAGATTGTTGTAGTCATGGAGACGGATGACACTCCAATGAGACCCAGCGTGTCGGTATCAGTGTCGGCCATGACGGCTTGTCTGTTCATGAAGTTGGGACCTCGGATCGATGGTAAGGAAAACACTCTTTTGTTCTTATCTCTTGTGCATTTTTCCAGCAAAATGTTTTTTTTTATATATATATTCTGTTCACAAGATTGAACCGAGTTTACTACAGCAAAATTATACAGTCTAAAATATATTTTCTTAATCTAAGAAATATAAACATCTTACCTCCTTACAAATATCAAGATACAGGCCCTCAAAGCATCCTTCCAATATAAAGCCATTATTTCTGCATATGTTTGTTGGTGATTGTTTTCAGTTACCTGAAAGCAGCCTCTTTTGAAACTTGCTTGAAAGTCCTAGCCGCAAGTCTGACTCCTCCCAGCCAGTAGGTGGTGCTCTCGCACTCACCAGTTTTAGTTCGTTTGTAAGGTAATTACCAAACATTTAAAGGAGTCATAACCTGGTGTCTTACATACCAAATCCTTCTGAAATTGTCTTTAGATTCACGTTTATTATTTTTTTCAGATAGAAAAATTAAATAGAGCTCACTTTGACAACTTAATACGCACTCAAACGGATGTAGCATTAGCAACATTAGCACATTGCCGAGGTTCTCTTTGAATACTAAAAACAAAGAAAAGTCACTCAAGCAGCAATTCTTAATTCATTTCAATTCAGTTTATTTCTATAGCGCCAATTCACAACACATGTCATCTCAAGGCACTTTACAATTCAACCAGATCATCCAGTCAAATTGATTTTAAGTTTTCTATCTAAGGAAAACCAGTTAATTGCATTGACTCATTGACTCTGAGGCAATCCCTCACACTAAGCATGCTTGTAGCGACAGTGGAGAGGAAAAACTCCCTTTTAACAGCGAGAAAGCTCCAGCAGAACCAGGCTGAGTGTGAGCGGCCATCTGTCGAGGCCAACTGGGGTTCAAGGAGACAGAAGCAGACAGAGAAAAAGAAGCAGGGATACAAAATTCAACCATAAACCAGCTCCACAGGCGGCCCCGTCTAGGAAACACACAGCAAGGCAGACGAGCTCGGGGCCAGCTCCTATTGCAGACGATGCAGGCGCTTTCTGACTGCCTGTAGGCTAGTACCTGATTGTTGGAATCAACTCTATTGGTAAATTAGCGACAGGTGTGGTGATAGCATGGCGCCTAACTTAGCACCCTCCCATGAATGACATCAGTCCAGGAGGAGGACAAAGATGGCGCTTTGTTGGCTTTTCTGGTTTGAACAAAGATCCCACATGGAACAAACTTCGACACTTCCAGGTCTGAATTTTTTTGGATGGCTTTAAGCGAAGCCAACACCATCAAACACGTTTTAACACGAAGAAGTTAGACTTCTGGGCGATAAACCTTTTTCAGTACCTATCCAGAAGCAAAGCATTAACATCTGTGTGGCTTCTGAGTCCCTTTGCTGTGCCTACAATACAAAGCTTCACTGATGCTCATCCTTGATTTGCTTCTCTTTAGTTTGGATCTGAGGAATATAAAGTGGAAAAGAAGCATTTCTCTGTTATGGAGCTGCAATGATCTGGAAACACCTGAGCTCTGTCTCATATGACTTCAGCCTATTACTTCTTTTTATCCAGAATCCTTCTGTGTCAACACTGGCATCATAACCAATATGTATATATTTTGAACCCATCAAACTTCATAAACTATTTGTATACCTATTTTGTTGTTAAATTAATACTTAGATTCAAACTTAGACAACTTTTATTGTCATTTTGTATACACAGAGTGTATTCCATTTTAATGCAGCAATTTTGCACCAATCCAGATGTTCTGTTTGGTAAAATTTGTTGCTGTAACCTTTAATCAGGTATATTAAAAGAGTTCAAACTTACTTCTAGCCATTTTAGTTTTTTAAATATTCTTTCATGTGTTTGTCTGCTGTGGAATAGCTGACATCCTGTCCTTGACTCACACTGAAAAAGGATCAGAAAACAATCAACAGTAATTCACTCAACGTTTTGTGGAATATNCACACTAAGTATGCTTGTAGCGACAGTGGAGAGGAAAAACTCCCTTTTAACAGCGAGAAAGCTCCAGCAGAACCAGGCTGAGTGTGAGCGGCCATCTGTCGAGGCCAACTGGGGTTCAAGGAGACAGAAGCAGACAGAGAAAAAGAAGCAGGGATACAAAATTCAACCATAAACCAGCTCCACAGGCGGCCTCGTCCAGGAAACAGACAGCCAGGCAGACGAGCTCGGGGCCAGCTCCTATTGCAGACGATGCAGGCGCTTTCTGACTGCCTGTAGGCTAGTACCTGATTGTTGGAATCAACTCTATTGGTAAATTAGCGACAGGTGTGGTGATAGCATGGCGCCTAACTTAGCACCCTCCCATGAATGACATCAGTCCAGGAGGAGGACAAAGATGGCGCTTTGTTGGCTTTTCTGGTTTGAACAAAGATCCCACATGGAACAAACTTCGACACTTCCAGGTCTGAATTTTTTTGGATGGCTTTAAGCGAAGCCAACACCATCAAACACGTTTTAACACGAAGAAGTTAGACTTCTGGGCGATAAACCTTTTTCAGTACCTATCCAGAAGCAAAGCATTAACATCTGTGTGGCTTCTGAGTCCCTTTGCTGTGCCTACAATACAAAGCTTCACTGATGCTCATCCTTGATTTGCTTCTCTTTAGTTTGGATCTGAGGAATATAAAGTGGAAAAGAAGCATTTCTCTGTTATGGAGCTGCAATGATCTGGAAACACCTGAGCTCTGTCTCATATGACTTCAGCCTATTACTTCTTTTTATCCAGAATCCTTCTGTGTCAACACTGGCATCATAACCAATATGTATATATTTTGGACCCATCAAACTTCATAAACTATTTGTATACCTATTTTGTTGTTAAATTAATAATTAGATTCAAACTCAGACAACTTTTATTGTCATTTTGTATACACAGAGTGTATTCCATTTTAATGCAGCAATTTTGCACCAATCCAGATGTTCTGTTTGGTAAAATTTGTTGCTGTAACCTTTAATCAGGTATATTAAAAGAGTTCAAACTTACTTCTAGCCATTTTAGTTTTTTAAATATTCTTTCATGTGTTTGTCTGCTGTGGAATAGCTGACATCCTGTCCTTGACTCACACTGAAAAAGGATCAGAAAACAATCAACAGTAATTCACTCAACGTTTTGTGGAATATTCCTGTATTTTAACATGCTCCCCCAACCAAATTACTCAGCCAAGAACTGTAATGTGAGATATTTGTGTTAGTGTTGTGGGATGCATGTATTTGATTGCGTTGATGTGGGTGAGTTGGGGTCTCAGAAAACAGGCTTTTCGTGCATTAATGTCCGAGTTTATTAGAGGAAGATGTTTGTTTTGTGTTGGGATAAAAAAAACCTGCCTTCATCAGCAATGACTGCTATCCAGAAGGCATCACAGTGTTTCCATTATAACAACCAGAACTTCTAAAGCTGATGTAGATGAAAGTTCCTCCCTTGTGCCCCCTGGGTGTGAGGCAGCTTGCTGTAGCAAATCACCACAGATCTCTCATTTCTTGGCAAGCAGTTCAGATTGAACAGTACATGGAAATCAGAGGATAAAAGGCAGTAGTGAACTGACATGCTACATGTAGTAGATAACAAGAAACAGTCTGAGTCATGATTTTGTAAGAAGATGTTTTATACCTCGGTGCCGCTGAGCAAAACATCTTTTGCTGGAGGTTGAAGGACAGAGTTGGAGCAGGGCTTTTTAAGAGGCTGCATCTGTTTTACAGATGTTGTTAATATAGGGTTACTCCAGATAAAATGATTGTCAAAAATGTTAATTAAAACCTCAAACAATTTGCAGTTTGTTTACTCAAATCTGCATAACTGCACAGTGACACAATCGTCAGAGCGGCTGCCCTGCTCTGATTTTCACCAGCTTTCAGCTGTCATCTGTTTCTGAAATGTTGACTGTGAAAAATGTGGTTGACTTTCAATTGTTTGAAATCAGTGCAGTGAGAAACTTTATAGACACAATTCTGCCAACAAATATTCAAAACCGATCTAAAAATATAAGCTGTTTTAAAAGCTTTGCTCTCACTTGCACACAATGATACTTGTGTTTATAATGACGAAAGTAAATGAAGATAGATTAACTATATTTATATGGATATTGTTAGCAACACTAAAATGTTAAAGGAGTCACTTCTGCCCCCTAATCATGTTTATTACGGTCAGACTGGCTCGAGTTTGAAATCCTGTTTGTTGATGCAGCTTGATAATCAGAACAAGCAAGTTGATTCTTTACTTTTTAGATTCTCTTTAGCAGTCCTTTCTAAGTGTGCACTCTTCCAAACTTTCACAGCACTCTGCAGGTTACTTCATAAAACATATAACTTGAGCCAGAACCCAGAACCAACTCCTTAATATGGAGGACTAATCCTGCAAATATTTACAGAAAAAAATTGACTCATTCAAAAAATCACTTGGTAAAAAGTACCCTGCTAATAAATTAGTGTGCAATCAAAAACAGAAAAATGATTTGAGATTAAATTGTCTATTCTTGGATATAAATACATTTTGTAACTTACTTTCTAACTATTTTAATTTATTTTTGTGCTTTTATGCTCCTTACTATTTACTAAAAACAACAGATTTTTAGTTTTCTGTTTTTAATGCTGTATTTTTATTATTATTATTTAAAGCAACATTGCATAACTTTTGAAGTTTTAGCTTAAGTTTGAGATATAATAAATTAAATATTAGGTCAAAATTCAGCCCCTGGTTCATATAGATGCTCCATGCAGGCTGCTCTTCTCAAATAGTTGCCTATAAAACTCCGAGGGTCGGAGGCGTCACCAGTTCAATCATGTGACCCATTGCATCGCTTTACAGCAGTCTGAGCTCCTCTTAAACACCTCAACCAACGTAGCTAAAAGCCAGTGATAGACAGCAAAACCTATATGACCCGTACCTGTCCTGATTTTGTTTCTCTGATGAAGGATAAAGGGCTTAATGTGGCTTTGAATTTACCAGTAACTCTTTCTCAATCTGCTGGTCCATAGTAGTAGAGTTGGCAATAGATAGTGGTGTTA